CATGGTACCTGCCTGGCTTACTTCATTTAACATAATGTCCTCCAGATTCATTCACGTTGTTCCAAATGGCTGATTTCCCTCTTTTTAAAAACTGAATAGTGCTCCACTGTGACACATACTACATCTCCCTTAGTCACTCTTCTGGTGATAGACACTTAGGTTGACTCATATCTTGGCTACTGCAAATACTGCCGCAATGAACACGGCAGTGCAGATGTCTCTCTCACAGCTGACTTCACAACCTAGCAGGTGAACCGCGCGATCACACAGTACTTCTACTTTAATATTTGAGGACTCAAATCTTTCAGTTCGCATTTATTTAGTAAATACTCGGAAAGATCTTTATAGTGCCTATCAAAATATATCACTCCTTAACGTATTTCAGGTAATAATAAACAAGTGGTTACATTCCATTTAAAATGGTGAGTAGTTATCTAAGTCCATGGTTTATCTAAACCTTTATAAACTTCACAAGTGACAGAAACATAGATGAAGACACTGTATGTAACTAACCAAGTCATAATTCCTCAAATGTGTGCAGGGTTGAGGTGTAAATTCCACGTTACGGCTCTAGTAAAACAGAGTTTTCACTTATCGGTGGCCAGGCGGACCTCAAAACTATTTAGTGGCTTGTTCTAGAGTACTTTATAGTGCTAATACCTTAAACATATTTGGTGTATAATAGGCCAGTATTTGAGGACAGATTGCTGCAGTTCAGATTGTTAGTGTCTTGACATATACTTGCTTTTTATAAATGTTTATTAAATGAATAAACAAGCAAATCAATGAATAACCCAAACTCTTAACTAACTAACATGAAAATGTTAATAGAAACCACATTCTGGCTCACTCCTCTAATCCTAACACTCTGGGAGGCCCAGGTGGGAAGATTGCTTGAGCTCAGGTGTTTGAGACCAGCCTGAATAAGAGTGAGACCCCATCTCTACTAAAAATAGAAAACCTAGCTAAGCATTGTGGCAGGAACCTATAGTCCCAGCTACTTGGGAGGCTGAGGCCAGGGGACTGCTAGAACCCGGGATTCTGAGGTTGCTGTGAGCCATAACGATGCTGCTGCACTCCACCTGGGGCGACAGAGCAAGAGTCTGCCTCAAAAAAAATTATTAGTGAGATAAATGATATTCATTTTTTTTCACACTAAGTCTTTGAAACAGGTGTAGACTTTATGCTTACAGCACATTTCAATTCAGACTAGCCACATTCCCAAAGCTCAGTGTCCACATGTGCTGGGTAGTGTAACTCTAGAGAACATGGCAGAGAGTGCAGTGCTTCTAGATGAACAAAACACAGGCAGTCCCGGGCTAAGAACGCTCTTAAGGTGAATTTGTATGTAGGCTGCAACAGGTACATTTGCCCTTACCTGTAACAGCCGCCATTCAAGTTGTATGTGGGCCAGCTGTCTGTGACCCAGGGACTGCCTGCACACATACAATATAAAGGTGATTTCTTTAATTTTTCAAGTATAATTTATTACTATATTAAGAAACATATTATTGCCTAGAACAGATTTTCCAATGCTAGTTTACATTTTTTCCCTTTAATTTATATGCGATTACTCTCACTTGTTCCTACAACTAGGGAAAAAGCTTATTTAAAGTATAATTCCTAATTTCTAGTACTTACAATTTCACTGGGTAAATTGATTTAGCAACCGATTAATAATTTCCTTCACTGGAAATCTGGACCTAGGCCTTCTTTCTCCTACCAAAATCCTCTCATAATTAGTTATCTTAAAATATCCTGAAACAGCAAAAAGAGAAATACTTATGATTTAGAAATTTTGCTAAAGTACTATTTATTTATTTCCCTTGTTTATTAACATTTCATTAATTGAAAAGTCAACACCCCTAAATTACAAAAAGAATAAATTAATATGGTTAAAAGTTAATTTAAAAGGATGTAAGTGGCAAAGAGTAATAATATTTTACTTTTGATTTTAGAGAACTTTGGAGAAATAAATATATTAAAAATCTCTCTTATGGGCTCAGCACCTGTGGCTCAAGTGGCTAAGGCGCCAGCCATATACACCTAAGGTGGCAGGTTCGAATCCAGCCCGGGCCCGCCAAACAACAATGACGGTTGCAACCAAAAAATAGCCGGGCGCTGTGGCGGGCGCCTGTGGTCTCAGCTACTTGGGAGGCAGAGGCAGGAGACTCGCTTGAGCCCAGGAGTTGGAGGTTGCTGTGAGCTGTGATGCCACGGCACTTTACCCAGGGGGACAGCTTGAGGCTCTGTCTCAAAAAATAAAATAAAATAAAATAAAAATCTCTCTTATGAAAAAAAGATCAAGAAAGCCACAACAAACACTTATGCATTAAACCTTCAGTTCAGAAAATCCTTGCCTAAAGGTCAATACTAACGCCCTGAACTTTGTACTGTATGTCTGCTTTTAATAAAGCTCCATGATTAAGCATTAAATTACTTTGCTCCTTTAATTTGTAATCCATCTTCTCATTTCAGTAGTCAGTAACATGAGGTGAGAAATAGTAAAGGATGCTTTATTTGAAGATTCACCAGGTGTTCAATGCCTTCCTAAACATTTTTAAATTGTAAAAACTGGTCAAATATCTCACCCTGGAGATGCGGGTCAAGGGCACTGATCTCAGTCTTCTGAGAGAAGGACATATGCTTTTCAGTACTCTGCTATTGTTAAAATCAGGAGTTTTAATGTTTCAAAGAACATTTGGATCAGTTATCAAAGACTATTGAGTAGCATAACATATCATTCCTTAATAATTATTTTCCTTTATTTCATTCCACTATATACTTATTTTAGAAAGTAAACCCAATTAGCACAGAGTAAAGCACTGTGGAATCTATACGGCATTTTGCTTGCAGGGTTATGTTTATATATAACTTAACAAACAGTTGTATACTTGACTCAGTTTTAAGTGGTTTCACAAAACACTGGTGATAAATGTAACATGACTGAATCTGGACCACACTCAGAATCGTATTTGGACTTTCTGCTTCTCCAGGAAGCCCTTTCCGTAACTGATGAAGACCCTTTCAATGAATCGTAACTACTGGAAGCACAATGATGATGATGCTTAACACTTACAAGGTTTTGATTCGGGCCAGCCCCGGCCTTAAACATGTTTCATATAATAACTAATTTCATTTGCACAACAAGTTCTTGTTCCCATTTACTAGATGAGAAAACAGAGGCACGAAATAATTACTTAACTTCTCCAGGCCCATAAAGTTAGTGAGTGGCAGAGTCAGGGTCAAAACCTGCCATCTGACGTAGACTATGGTCTTAGCCAGGCTGTAATGTTTCCTGACAGATTAACCTAAAGTTCCAATACGTTTAGGTTGGTGTCTTAGCTGCTTCTACGTACATATAAAGGTGAGAGGCATAATCTTGGTCTCAAACCAAAAGTTAAGAGTTAAAGAAAATTTTGACCCACAGAGGTTTGAGTGATTTGTCTAAGTTATTAGCAGATCAAGTTGAGGCCTATAGGCTAAAAAGTGAGATCCTGATATGATTCCATTCTTTTAGTTAACCAAATTAATATTAATAAATAA